CCCAAGTTTTGCAAGGACAAGGACAAAGGCCAGGTAAAAATTTTGTTGGGGAAAGGGGACGCACCATACAATCTGACAATAACACACCTCGTAGAGCCTTTGATTATGCTAAAGACAAAAGGGAGGATGAGGAACTTTTCAAAGAATTCTTGGAGGAGATGAGCAAAATTGAAGACGAGGACCCACGCCAATGTTTTGTTGTTCATTTTAGGTACAAGGGATGAGATCCCCACAAACTGACAGAACAATATATGATTGAGGAACTTCTGGGACATTTTCACATGCAGAAAACTAATATCTTGGCTGTTATTATGTCTCCTGGTCTTAAGGAAACTGATGTTTGTTTAATTTCGCAAAAGGCATATTTTAAATTGTGGGAGGCAATGAAGGAGGTGCTCAGTCAAAGCTTGGGCCTTCTAGAGGAATGTGATGTTATACCCCTCTTTAGTGGTGAATCAAGGGTGGTGGCAATTTCTTTTAGGATGACAACTATCCCAGAAGATGATGTAGAACTCTGGTTACAACAGCATTGTAAGATTTTGATGTCTCCTAAGAAGCGTCTTAATGAGTATGGAGTGGGGGGGGGTATAAAGCAGTTATTGGACTTTATAGGGATGGTCATGGCAGGTTACAACATTTACCGAAGTATTTCTTTTTAGGTCAAGACAGGGGAATTACACGTTACAGTGGACAACCCCCAGCATGCTTTCAGTGTGGTGGGTACGGTCACATTAGTCAGAATTGTAACACTCCTCTATGTGCCCTAATGGACTTATTAAAGACTAAGGGGAAGGGGCCAGAGGCTACTAAGCTGGGCACGGCGTTGCAATGGAGTAAAGAGTGCCAGGAGGCTTTCGAACGCCTCAAAGCTTTGTTCACCTCAGAGCCAGTCCTCGCCCACCCTGATGAAATGAAAAAATTCATTGTGCAGACTGACGCGTCAGATGTTGCCATGTGGGGGCGATCCTGCAAGAGGGTGGGGACAACTTGCTACATCCCTTGGCATACGTGTCAAGGAAGTTCAATGACACAGAACGTAACTGGTCTGTTTGGGAAAAGGAGGTGGGGGCAATAAAACTCGCCCTATCCACATGGAGGCATTGGTTGGAGGGGGCGCGAGTCCCGTTCGAGGTTTGGACTGATCATAAGAACTTGGAAACACTCAAAACACCCCGGTGTCTTAATGCTAAACAACTACGGTGGGCAGATTTATTTTCCAAATTCCAATTCACCCTGCACCACTTCCCTGGCTCCGCGAACTCTTTGGCTGACGCCCTGTCATGCCTACCCCAACACGATAGCCAACGGGAGGTGGTTTTGAACTCGGTGTTCACGCCTTCTCATCTGGGCGGAGCAGTGACGACCTGCAGCCAGACACGCCACACCGTTCCACCCCCTGCGATGCGGGACCTGGACCCTCCCAGTCCAGACACTGAGGGGGGGGGAGACTTGGCACAGTAAGTTCGCCTCCACCTTCTCGGAGGGCGACAAGGCAATACTTGAAGCTGAGGGTGATTTCGAGCTATGGGCGGATGGCTGTTGGTATCGTGGAAATAAACTGTTAATTCCTATCTCTCTCAGGGGGGAAGTGTTACAAGCTGTGCATGGCTCCAAACTGTCGGGACACCCAGGGTTCGTGAAGTCCAGCTCTTACAACGTCAGTTTTGGTGGCTGCAAATGCGAAAGGATTTATCCTCTTTTGTTAAGTCATGCCATGTGTAAGCCTAGATAAGTGCTGTAGCAGTGAAACTGGATTTACCTAAAAACTTGAGGAAACTGCATTCTGTGTTTCATTTCAGCCTCCCGAAGAAGGATTCCGGTTCCAGCCCTTGGCGTCCATCAAAACCGGTACCCCCTCCTATCTTGATTGAGGGCGAGGAACATTATGAGATCTCTAAAATCCTGGACTCTAAGATGAAACGTGGAAAGTTGATGTATTTGGTTGAATGGTTAGATTTTGGACCCCAGCACCTCGAGTGGGTGGAAGTAGGGGATATTCGGGCCCCTCGCCTGTTGCGGAAGTTTCATCAGGACTTACCGGACAAACCGGGAGACCTCCCAGAATGCCCGGGAGACCTCCCGGAATGGTGGGGAGAAGCTGATTTTCGAGGGGGCAGTATGTCAGCTAAGCTGCCATGGAGGTTGGGGAGGTCAGTTGTACACTAATTGCCATTGCATTCCTTCTGTGCTTCTTCGCTGCTGTAACGCTTATCTCTAAGTTCTGCAGGTGGTGGGATGTTGATGTCTAGTTGCAAGGGAACCGTGGGAGCGAGCTTGGTTCCCAGCTTCAGTGCAATTGGCCGGAGCGCCTTCTCCCGCGCGTGGGAGTGTGGCTAATTGGCCAGGGTAGTGGGGGGGGCTGCATATGATTACCCTATATCCTATTATGCCCCTGGGGAAGCAGCCATTCTTAACAGTGACTATATTAATGCATCTATAGCTCTTCAATAAAGTATTACCTTTCCTGATAAGGGTGTACTACGTTGTTGGCTGTGGGTTCTGAATTCTAATGTGAAGCTGGACTATTGGTGTAGTTCTCTCATGGGCAGTTCTTTAAAACACCCCACCTTTCTCACAGGGTGTCTGTTGTGGAGAGAAAGGGAAAGGAGATTGTAAGCCCCCTGAGACTCCAAGTGAAGAGCGGGGTATAAATCCAATCCCCTCCTCCTCCTCATTGTCCTCTCTTCCTCCTTCTTGTAGGGCCCATTGCTGCTGTCCCACACCCTTCTTCTTCCTCTTCTTCTTCTCCTCCTCCTCCTCCTTCTTCGGCCAATTGCTGCTGTCCCCAGCTGCCTGTCTGAACCTATGCTTGTACCCATGCTTGTACCCATAATTGAGGAAGGGCGTATGGGTTGGTACACAGCAGTGACACTCCTGGTAAAAATGGCAAGGTGATGCAGGCAACTGGGCATGGATGGTGGGAGGGCTTCAAGCAGGAGAAGGACTCACAGGCAGGTGGGGGGCATACATGTGGGAGTGGAAAGGAGGGCATGAGAGGTTCCTGGGCACTCTCTGCCCAGGCTCTGAGCATACCCAAGCATAATTCTTCTTGTAAAAACTTTCACTGCTCTAAATTTGAAATCTACCAGTATGAACTGAGCCCACACCTCCAAACCTATCCAACTGTGGTTTCTATCATTAATAAAGATAGAAAGATCTATTCACCATGCAACTAGAGGGCACTGCAACCCCTTCATGTTTGTAGATGGCTTCTAGATCCCCATGGTCCACTCTTGCTGAAATCACTGAATGTCCCCAACTTGGTCTTCACACCTCATAGCTGGTTTTCTGGAATCAAGCCAGGTTTCCCAGCCTTGTGGTTGTTTGACTTTCTGGACCCCCACTCGTTGACTGAAATCACTGAGCTTTTCCTTCCTTTGAACTCTAGAACTGAATCTCTAGACCTAATTTTCTGAATCTCTAGACCTAATCCACTCTCAGATTGAACTCATGCCCCTTTTTTCTCTTCAGGATCAGGTTTGTGTGTTTTCTTTCTCCCTTTTATTCTTCCAAAGCGCCACTGGCTTGCCTAACTGCTAACCAGTTTGTCATTGACCCTAGCCTTTCCTCTAGCTGTACTTAGAATGGGCTGAGCTTGTTTCTCTAGAACAATAGCTCACCTGGATCCAGGAACTAACCAATAGATAAGCAGTGTAATGTAAAGAGCCTATCACTGTGAGTGGGTGTGTCTTGGGTGTTGTGTTTTGCATGTTTATAAGCAGGGTTCCAGCCCTGCTAGCTTGTCTTGGAGTTTGCTGAAATCACTGAATAATCCTGAACTGATCACTACAATGCGTCTAGAACCCAGTATTTCTTTTCCAGGTCCCCCCCCCCAATAAACAACAGCTCACAGGTAGGTAGACTTAAGTAAAAGTTTTACATTCATTTATTTATTGTCTGATTTTACTATTTTGCTATTCTTGCCTTAATTTTTTTCCATTCTGTATCTTGTTAGGGAAATAAACGTCTCTCATTTAAGAGCTTTTATTCTTCCTCAATCTTTCGGAGTTATTCATCTTGAATCACTATTCTCAGTGACAGGAAGACAGTGGGACAAAAGACAACAGCTGTGGTGGGTTTATCAACACCTGTGGTGGGTTCCCTGAAGAATTTGGTTGGTTAGAGCAAGGAACAAGGGCATGATGGATATCTGTTGTAATGTCTAAAGGCAATTCTAGGGCATTATATAACTGAGGTCAAGCTGAATTTCTACAGGCAATATTGTTGCTGGCCAACGGAAGCATGTTCAGACTGAGTCTGAAGTTCCAACTGACTGGTGCATCACAAAATAAGTGTATTTTGACCAAAGAACTTACTTGGCAACGTTTTGTCAAATATAACCATTTTAATCCAGCGACTGCAAAGGCCCGAAGACACTTCCTATTCATTCTGTCGGCCCTATACAGTAGGCCACTGCTTATCACAGTTTGGGAGGAGGGGCTGAGGCTAAGATAGGGGCCGAAGAAATTCATTCTTGGGAGTCTAGGGGGGGAGGGGTCAGCTTAGAATTCATATTTTTGAGCTGAGCAGTGTAGTGACAATGACAGGCAGCAGTTCAAGTGTTCCCTGGATTCAAATCTCTACTCATCCGTGGATTTTTTTGAGTCAATCTCTCTCTCTTTCAGCCTAATTTATCTCATGGGTTTTGTTGTGAGATTAAAACGGGGGAGGAGTTAGTAATATTCTATGCAAAGTAATTCAATAAGAAGGTAGGAGGGGCAAGGAATGAGAATGTGTCCAGATGCTCCAGAGCATCCTCGTTTTGCTGGGTAAAAGTAACCAACCACACTGTCGATTAATAACTAAAAATGGAAGGTCAGAAACTCTTGCGACAATATAAACATAAATACAGCTTTGTGGCGTAACTTTCTGCCTTCATTACAAGATCTGAAACTCTGGAAAAAAAATTGAGAGAATCTACAAGGAAATGTCCTCCGAGATCTTTGCCCTCAGAATTTTGGGTACAGCAGAATGTTGAAAGGTTAAAGCAGGACAGCAAATTAGCTTTCTTCTTTGTCCTCTTCTTCCTTCTCTTCCTCATCATCTGGCTCTCCCTTGATTTTCTGGCGAGCAAATTCCTCAATCACAATATCCTCCTCACTGGAAAGAATTTATAAAAAGGTGGTTTCAAGTGGGAAAATTCAAATAATCACAAAATACCCATCAAATAATCACAAAATATTTCCAAGAAATAGAAGGTGTCTTTTCCCACAGAGAGAAACTGCAGGAAAAGGCTTCTAGCCTAGTTTCCTACCCTTGGCATGCTAGTTTTCCATGTGTAGGGTATTTTTGTTTTTTGGTTTTTTTGCACACAAAATCTAGTTGGCAAAGGTACAACTCAAGAACCGGTAGGATGCATGATGAGCAGTTTGTCTAGAGGAACACACCATCACTTCCTGCCTTTTAACAGAGGTCTTTGTGCCAGTCATCTGGGACTCAGAGGTCAAGGGGATCTGTTTGCAGAGGTTTTTTATGTTCAAAATGGCAAACATATTTTTAAAGGGGCTTGCTGGGCTTTAGGGTTAAATTTAATATGACTCTAAATTTTGTAATTTATTTACCTATTTAGACCATAAAGAGCATAATCCTACAAGGAGAAGTGAAAGTTCTTAGAGAGCAAACTAGCTGCTATCCCTATGTATCTCTGAGATACACTGGCACAACTCAGATTGGCCTGGCACTGCCAAAGAGATGCCAGACACCAGCACATCCCCTCCAGGGCCACAAACTGGTGAGCCACCAGTGCGCCCCCCCCCCCAGTGCCAGCATGGGCTGGGGGGTGTCAGGGGAGTTAGTTCCAAAAGTGCTACAACTGGGGAATGCCCCCCAGAACAGGTGGAAAGTTATACCATAAAGAACCATGGCATATCCTATAGATGTCAGTGGTGGCCACTGAAGGCAACTCCTCCAGCAGACCATGCCTCTGCTGCCCCAAATCCCACAGAATGCAGGACACACTGGTTCCTGACTGCCGACTACCCTCCACAGCCAAAGGCAGCACCTGATAGGCAATAGAAAGCCCACACCTGGCCTGGGGGTACATCAGTCAGCACCATGGTCATGGGACTTAGCATCTCGTACCACAGTGAGAGCTCATTCACACACTCAGTTAAGGGGTACACCATGCAGGAGCACTACTCACCATCATGGCAGAGATACAGGGGAAACAGCCACAGAAGGCCAGTAGGCACCCACCCAAGGAGGGTGTCCCTTTGTACCTCTAAAGTGGCAGCCTGAATTCCTCCTGCAGACACAGCAAGTTGCAGGAGCCATGCTAGCTGCACTCTGGGCATACCCACCATCCCGAGCAAGCAGTAACAGAATAAATATGACTAGGAGCAAGGTGTACCCTACCCCTCGACAAGGTCACACCCCGGCAGCTGTAGCAGAGGCCCTGGGGAAGACAGCACCACAATGTCATGTATGGACCATTTTTAGGTCCTGTAATTCCCAGTGGGATCCCTGGCAAATGCCTGTAGCAATTGCTGCCCCAGGGAACCACCTAGCACAGAGGCCTTGCCTAACCGAATTTCAGTCCATTGTTGATGTATACACTCCTGCAGCCAACACACTCTTGCATCTATCATGCATTTGTTGCTCCTCCAGGTACCCGCCTGCCCCCTCGGTTGACCTAACCCTAACCCAGCAGCTTGGAACCCCCCTTATCATGCAGCCGCTCCCTATGGCTGAGACCGCTGACCATGTGATGGATGGATGACTTCTCCAGACAGGCACTGACTGGGAGCTGCATGGTGCTGGTGCACTCATGGTAGTACCTCCTCCCGTGTCGTGGGCCACCTAAATGTTCAGGGCAGCCAGATGAATCAGAGGGATCCCTGAGGGGGGCACCTGTTGGCCCTGGTGCACCATTATGCTGCCATGCATCCATCTTGTATCCAGGAGGGTGGACTTTTATCTCATGGCCTGGAGGTTCCCACCTCGCCTGGCCCCACTTCCAGATTCCACTATGTGCATGTGACACAGCCACCTGAGCCCCTGCTGACGGTGATGCCCACTGCCAGGCTAACTGAATCAAGACAGAGAAGATGATTCTGCATGGGCATGCATGCCATTGTGGCCCTTGTCACCACCAGGGACAGCTACAGAGTGGCTCACCACCATCGCAGCATACCAGACCCATAGCAGCAGAGTGGGTCACGCTACATCGACTGAGGTATCCACTGTGAAGTGGTGGAACAACTCCATCAGGCTAGCCTGGAAACATGTGCATGCCCTCATGGTCACAGAGCATTCCATATGAGTGGGCAGTGGTGGAACATGTGCTTTGTGCTGAGGCCATCCAGCACACAGTGATCCTGCCTTGTAATTGGGCACCCACGGGATCAAAATCCTGTCCAATGGGCATGTGGTGGCCATGGTGTAACCCTAGGGTGCCTTCCCACCCAGCAACCAAGTTGCTCTGGGGAAACACCATTGCAGAGACCACCATTCAGCTGTTTGTCTTAAATGGCTATGAGCCATTTAGACCCTGTTTCTGCTCCCTGTGAAAAGCCACAAGGAGCAGAAAGCAGCTGTTTGGTTTAAATGGCTCATGAACTGATACGAACCAGATCGGTTCATGAACCAGCATATCAGTTTGTGGTTCAGTTTCTTGTTCAGCTGTGAACCGTGAACTGAACCACAAAAAAAAATGCAATTTGTGCCCATCTCCGCTAAAGAGGACTCCTTTATTAGAGGTTGAATACTCCTCTTCAGTGCCCTATGCAAGTAGGGAACCTTCAGCAGTTGATCTAGATGGGATTCAAACAGCCAAGATTGGCAAGGTTTGACGCAGTAGATGGGTGCTTTCACAGCGTGCTGGCTCCTGTCATATTCCTCAAGGACAACAGGCTGAAGCTGTCCATAAAAATTCTAGATGGTGCTCTGGAAAGTTCTACTACCTGGAGTACAAGTCAGACTAGGAAAATGTTATAAGCAAAGAAATGTGCAAATGCATCACCATTAATACTCAATCTTTCTCAATTTGGAACTCTAGTCTTTGAATCAACAGTTGCTTAATCACTTTACATAATAACAATAGTATTCTGCTGTTGCAATGGTGGTGGGGAAATATCTCTGTTGCTACCATTTCATAGGCTTGGATCCAACAGAGAAATTCTGTTGCAACAAGGGACAATTTTCAGTGATTGTTGCAAATCCAACTGCTCCAAGGAGCTCTCCTGGGGCATTTGCGTCTGCTGCAAGAGGGGGAGGTGAGGAAGCTGTGCCATGTAGACAGAAATCTGGATATTTAAAAAGGAGATGGGGAGACAAAACTATTGACAACAAATAATGGATATATTTCAGTTTTCTCTTTAAATTCCATTTTTTCAGCACACTCTCAGAAAGCACTTTCCTCCATTGTTCCAAAATTTCTGGAAATGTTATGCCTCAACTGATAACTAAGGTCCAGTAGATTCTCAGAATTCCACAGGGCAGCCTAGAAACTGAGTTATTTCATTCACTTTGATGGTGGACCTCTTGAGGAAAGAGGAAAGAGGGCATAAATAAATAAATGTAATCAACATTGGCCCAGTTCTCCTAAGGAGAAAAAGTCCAGAGAAATTGATGAAAGAATATAAAGACAAATAATTACCTCCTTGCAAGAGAAAAACAAGAAAGGAAACCAAGAAACAGAACGAGGCACAGAAAAAGAAAGCAGAGTAAGTTATTTAGTCATGTTTCAGGTATTCAATATACACAATGAATAAGCAAATGTGGTACCTATAAGACATACTGCATTGAGCATGGAGGGGCCCAAACACAATGCAGCAAAGAAAATAGAAAATTTCTGTTTGTTTGTTTTTAACAGCAAACTCCAAAATGGAGACCTATGCTTGCTGATCCTTTTCCACTTCTAAACCTTTGCTTTGTAGCCCCATCCAAAAACCTGGTATGTGTTACAAATATCTGTACTCAGCCTAGCCACCAAAAGCCATTGAAGTAACATCTACTAGCCATGTCTGCCCATTAGGAAAACCAAAAGTCTAGCGATGGTCAGCTTCATCCTTGATAGCCATGACACAACAACATGAGCCCTGGAAGTGGCTTAAAATTAAGAACCTAGTTCTACAGGAGAGGAAAGTATTTGATGTACAGTGTTGGCATTTACTTGGTTGTCAGTCTTGGTTCTGATAATTCTTGTTGGGTTCATATAGATTATTATTGTAATTTTCATACTTATGTTTCAAGTTCTATGGTTTTCAGGACACAATGAGGCAGCAAAATGAATCTTTCCTGTAAGATTCTGCTCCTAGTCATGTGGGTATTTCATTCTAAAAAACGGATCAAGAATGCCTTTCCAATTCAACATTTGCCTTTGAGAAGGGGAGGAGTATTCGACAAACCATAAGAAGTACCAGTACATTTCTGGGTCGAAAAAGCGGTCTTTGTTAGGGTAGATTAGACTGAGAGATTTTGATGGGCCCAGAACACCAGTGCCTTCCATGAAGGAAAGGAAAGGCTCTGCACATCATCAGAGGCTTTCCTTGTATTACTGCTGCATACATGACATGTATATAGGACATATGACACACAGACATATATATAAAGGTCAAAGCAGATTTGGGAATGGAAAATGCACGGAATGCCCTTGCTCAGCTGAAGTTTATGGTGCAGTCATGCAGCACACCAGACATCCGGAGAAGAAAGCAGAGGAGTCTCCTCCTCTGCCACTGAAGAGCAGTGGGGCACCAGGCTATCATGTCCTGGCCACCTGTGACCCTGAAGTGGAGAGGGTCTCACTTCAAAATCACATCTCAAACAATATTCACATGAACTCAAAGATCAGAAAGGATTTTAACCCTGGTCCAAAGTGTCAGCATGTCAAGATCTGATTTTGTGGGACAGATTAAAAACCCCCAGAAAATTTAAGACTGCTCATTGTTTATTGAAGACAATTGTGTCAGACATTAAATGACCATATTTACTTTCTTTCTTTCTTTCTGAAACGATGTCTATAAATAATGTTTATGAATTAAAATTAGAGAATGGATTCCATTTTTACAAAACTATTCAGAATGTTTCAGATCCCCCCCCCCATTTAACTCGGGAAGAAAAAAAACATTAAGTAAGCACATATTAGGATAACAGCTTTTTTTTACATCCACTATTTGACAACATGTTCAATATATTGAACAATTTCCAAATGATATTTTGAGGAAGAGTGTAATTTTTTTACCTCGGTGTACCTGTAAATCCAGTCATCCAGGTATCAAAAGAAGGCAGAGGAAGAATGACAGAGGAAGATACCAGTCAACCACGTGTAATTGTTTCCAGAGCACTAGGAAGTCCTGTTCAAGGATAGATGGTCTCTAAATCAGAGGTCCTCAGTGTGGTGCCGGTGGGGGCCATGGTGCCTGGTGACACCCTTCCGGGCACCCACCCAAGTGCCTTAGAAAGGGGGTGTGGCCAGGTGGGGCTCCTGCCCAACAGGGCTTCTGTTTGGCCACTGGAGATCTGATTGACTGTTCAGATTAATATAATGTCGGTTTGGGAAGCCGCTGCCACGACAGTATTGGGTCTTTTCTCTTTCCCACTCCTTTTTTCCAGTGTATTTGTAAAAATTACTCCTCTTGACCCCTCTGTGTGTGTTTGTGTATGTGTGTGTGTGAGAGAGACTCTACCTCCCATGACCCTTTGTCAGAATTCCAAGGGTGACCTCAGGCTCAGACAGGTTAGGGAGTGTTGCTCTAAATACATCATACCTGATGGTGGGGGATGGGTGGGAACTGCTTCCCAATTTTGGGAGTATTACATAGAACAAGAACTGAAACAGAGTGTGAGAAAAGACCTGAGAAGCTACTGAAAGGGGAAAGAGGAATAGTTTAAATAAAGGCCAAAAGGCCCATCGGAAGGTGGAGCTTCTCTCGTTTGCCTTTTTTGCCAGCAGAAACAGTGGTTGTGGGCTTCTGCATGGGTGGGAAACCAGAAATTTCAAAAACCCTGCCGGAGTTCCTGGTTTTGTCTAATTATGCATTTTTATCTGGTTATTATGGGTTTTAAAACATGTTTTATGTATGCTTTTAAGACATCCTGGTGGTTCTGACAGCAGAAAGGCAGGTCATAAATTGACTCACTGTCTGTAGGTTTGGGGTGCATCAGAACAAGTGGCAGATCCACACCGATGTCACTGAAAGGAAGAAGAACAGAGAAGGTCTCGTCCACCTGCAGCTCTCCAGAGAAGGTATCGTCCACCTCCAGTTTGCTCCCTGATCCTATTGCCTATCTATTCAAAGTAAACCTGATAATACATTCAATGGGACTGGGTCCCAAGGAAGTGTGGAGGGGACTGTAGGATCAGGAATGCATAGGTTCCAGGGACCCACCAACATCTAGGACATGGGAAATGTAACTCAAAAGTAAATGTTGACACCCTCGCAGTATTTTCACATGAAAGTCTTCAATCAAAAAATGTACAAATGCCTCTCCTCTGTGGTCCCTTTCATATGCATAGAAATCAGATGTTAACACACAGAGTGTGCACAACTTCTGGCAACTGAAATCCCATGTATTATACAATAAAAAGTAATATCACAGTGTGGTTATGGAATGCCCTCCCCAGAACTGTTTGCTTAACATCAAATTAAATGCTCTCTGGCACTAGAGATTTTTTTTTTTTTGTTTGCTTGGGCTTATACAGATCATTTCCCAAGTTGTTCAATTCAAATCTGTTATGGGGTATTTGCTATGGTATTGGTATACTTTTAAACTGCTGTCTTACTTAGTATTGCTACAGGTTTGTACTTCAACGTTTATGTTTTTAATTGATTGGAAATTGCTGAAAATATTTTATGCAGAGTGCTGTATTTTAATATATAAATATATATAATATTTAATTAAATAAACATAAAATTAATGTCTCAGGCTCTGCAGCCTTTCATTTAAAATGTATTACAGACATCAATCAATCATTACCTTGAAGTGAGATCTCCCAGGATGCTGGTGAATAAAAGCAAAAACACTCATATTGGAAAACAGTAGAAAGAAAGAGAACAGAGGCTCCTCTGACATAATGGCAACAATACTAAATGGACAGGGATGTTTTTTGGCAATTTGCACAACTGCAGACACAACAGCTAGTGTGGAAAGCATCCAAGATGGGCAGCCCACTTCTGAGACTGGTAGCAGCAACAACAGTAAACTGCTAGCAGAATAGAAGTAGCATCAGTTGTTATCCTAAGGAGTACCACAAATGCCACTGAAAGCCCAGAATCATACTCAACAGAGCTAGGAATTACAGAGACACACTCATGGGCAAGAGACACAGTCGATCATGGTCTTTTGACCCAATGCCTCATTGATGTAGGAGTTGGAGGGGTAGTCTTGAAGTGAGCCTTACAGGCTCTGTGATGATTCCTTGTTTGAGAGTGTGTGTGTCCCTTTAAATGTTTGATAGTAACTAGTGTGCCGTGATTGGTGAATGGCAGAGTGTGGGAGGAGTTATTCTGTGTGGATCTGTGTGGGTGTGTCAGTGAGTGATTGGAAAATGACAGTTGGAATGATGACACTTGGAGAAAAAGCAGTTGATGTTGTTCAGTTGGATTTCAGTCAGTGAGAGCTCTGACAGTGCTGTGTGGAGAGAGAGAGAGCTGAAAGTTCTGTGTGGAATCAGAGAGAGAGAAAGCAGTATATATCTGTAAAGTGAAACTACAGTTCTTAAAGAGAGTTAAAGTTACAAAGAGAATAGCCTGTGTGATACCGTTGACATACATCGGCCCCTGCCACACGGCAGGGAAAACACAGTGAAAAGCGCGGCTTTTAAAAGCCACACCAAAGTTGCGACACTGCGGCGGGATCCCACGGATCCCCGAAGCCATGGTGCGTCGCTCCCCGGCACGATCAGATGCCGGGGAGGAAGAGTCGGAGGGAAGGGGGAGGCTGCTGAACTGCGCATGCTCAAACATACGCAGTTCAGCCGGGGGCCGGGATGTGCCGGCGCAAGGACGTGCCGGCCGATCCCACAGCCGGTTTGAGGCGCTCTACTTTGGAAGAACCACCCAGGTAGGTGGTTCTTTTTAGTGCGGGTTTTCGGGCGGGAGGGACGGATCGGGGATGGGCAGGCAATGATTCCCAGATGTTGCCATGGGATCGCGCTCATTTGCTCCACCCCCGTCCTCTCTCGCTCCCGGACCAAAACCCCTCGTATGAACAGGGCCATCCTTACAAATACCTATTTCCAAAACAGTTACAGTTTAAACAACCTCTTAATTTGTTCTTTCAATAAATCCTTTTTATTTAAGTTTAACCCAGAAGCCTGATCCATTATTCCTCAGGACCACATAGATCATTGAAAGCCAAGACCCTGGGTCACAATACCAAAACCAGAAGCAGAAAGGGAATTTAAACAAAATTCCTGGTGGCAGCTGGAACTACCTATTTTATAAACATAAAGTATAATTTAAAGTGAAGTTCAGTCCTCCCCAATAGGCTCTACCAAGGGGAGTAGGGGAGCAGGTTTGGAGTCCTTGTCCATGCTTACCTGTTGGTGCATAGTTGCCCCTGTGAGTTGAGCCTCCAAGGTCATTTCTCCAAGGTCAAGGATAGAGGGTGGTGCTGAGAGAGAGGGTCAACTAGGCACCCCATAGAGGGTGCAATCCTCTCCCCAACTGGTGCAGAGTTTTGGACTGGGATGCCATCAGTACACTGATGACACCCAGCTATATCTGTTGATGGGCGGCCAGCTGGATACTGCCCCAGCAATTTTGGTTGAGGGGTTGGAGGCTGTGGTGAGATAGTTGAAACAGAGCTGAGATTGAATCCTGCTCAGAGGTTCTGTGGCTGGGTAGGAAAGACTCGGGTTTGGGGTGCTGACTCCCAGCTCTTGACAGTGTGCCCTCAACACTGGCACCAGCTGTCAAGAGCCTGGATGTCTCCTTATCAATGGAGGCCCAGATCACAAATGTTGCCAGACAGAAGCTCTGGACACCATCTAATTAAGTTGATTACTGTGATTTTATTGTTTTAATCTTAATTTAGTATGATTATGGTTGTTTTATTTATTGTCGTACACCACCCTGAGCAGTATAAAAATTGGATCTAATAAATAAATAAATAAAATAATCATGCTGTGATGGCAATGTGAGGATGGCTAGTGGAAGATGTGAATCGCGTGCCACAAGCTAACTCACCTGAGCGCCAGGAGGAACATCTCGCCAGAGGGGAGATGCTGGGGAAAGAACTGAAGAAGAGCCGAGCCAAAAATGAAAAAAAAAACCATCGACCACCACCGGGTGCTGGTAGGCAGTCCCACCCCGTACAAATGTGGCCCTAGTTAGGGAGTAATGTGATTAGCACCCTCTCTGTAAACCGCCCAGAGACCTCCAACGGGGATTAGGGCGGTATAAGAAATTGAAGATATAAATAAATAAATAAATAAGAAGAAGCAGCAGCAGAAGCAGAAATTGGATTTATACCCCGCCCTTCACTACCCGAATGAGTCCCAGAGCGATTTACAATCTCCTTCCTTTCCTCTCTCCACAGCAGACACCCTGTGTGGTAGGTGGGGCTGAGAGAGCTCTCTTGAGAACTGCCCTTGAGAGAACAGCTCTGAAAGAACTTATGACTGACCCAAGGTCACACTAGCAGCTGCCTGTGGAGGAGTGGGGAATCAAACCTGGTTCTCCCACATTAGAGACCACACGCTTAACTACTACACCAAACTGGCTCTCTAAGAGAGTCAGTTGACCGCATACAGATGCCTGGAGCACATGGAAGGGTTGGAGCACCATCAGTTCATTGATTCACACCATCTTCTTATGCATTCCACCCACAATGGCCAACAGTTGGTCAAGAAGCTTGAAAATCCCCTTGTGGTTTTGACCAGGGTCTGTCAGTATTGCTGCCCCCTAGACAGAGCAACATGGCCGTAAATGTCAGCAGGAGATTCTACAAAGCTAGAGTCCAATGGCACCTTTAAGACCTACAAATTTTTATTCAAGATGTGAGCTTTGTGTGCATGCACACTTTGTCAGACAATCAAATGGAATTATATATCATAGTTGTATATATAGGGGTGGCTTGTTAAAATTAGCATGCAAAATAGTGAAAATATTTTTAAAACAGATCAAAAGAATGACATGCTCGGTTTCTGGATATCATCTGTTTCGGTTCAACTGGGGGGAGGGAAACAACCTTGCCAGGATCCCGAGGGGGGAACTTTTTGCAATGCAGCCACTTTATAAAGCATTTCTAAAGATTCTTAAGCATAACTGCAAAGCTGGACTGTGGAATAGGTCAGTTAAGGACATGGACTCAATGACAGCCATGAAACAGTGCCATTCTACTGTACTGTAGGCATGTGCCCAGTCAAGGGGAACTTTGCACTGAAGCAGCGTGCCAAGCCAGATGTGGACCTCTGTTTGTAGCCCTAAGTTGATGAAATAAAATTCCCGCACATCCTCGGGAGGTAAAACTTGCTGCGACCAGGGCTAGATCCTTCTCAGTGGCGGCCCCTACCTGGTGGAATGAGCTCCCGGAGGAGACCAGGGCCCTGCGGGACCTTATGCAGTTCCGCAGGGCCTGCAAGATGGAGCTCTTCCACCAGGCTTTCATATAGGGGCTGCCGCTGCCACCACCACCAATGATGGCAATACCATCAGGATTCGAGATCGCCCTGGGAAGCTCAGCCATACATTGTGCGGCATGAAAAACGTGGGATTGGAATGATCTGCTGGACAGTGGTACCCCAATGGGGCTGACTGGAAGATGCCACCATAACACTCAAGACCATCTTGTCTACTGAAAGCACTTTATTATTGTTATTACTGTTATTATTGTTATAGTTTGATTTTACTGTTTTACTGGGTTTTATATATGGGCTTCTGACCCTTGTAAGCCGCCCTGAGCCCGCTTGCGAGGAGGGCGGGATAAAAATACCTAAATAAATAAATATAAATAAATAAGTTTGTAGAAGTATCTGTTTTATATCAGTTCAGGCCCAGTTCATGGATTTGAGTATCTGCAGATTGGCCAACTGTTATTAGATATATGGTGGTGATAAACAATAGATGACAGATGATAGATATAGATAGATGGTAGATGATGATGAGGATAGATAGATAGATAGATAGATAGATAGATAGATAGATGATAGATAGATATAGATAGATGACAGATGATGATAGATAGAGATAGATAGATAGATGATAGCTGAGAGAGAGAGAGATGATAGATAAAGATGCTCACCCTCCTCTGGTAACCATCAGGTTGACTCTGATTTTGTAGGACACAAGAATCCCAAGCACTTCCTTGTCCATTCCAGGTCGCAGACTAAAGAGGAGGAGGGTGTGATATTTGGTATTTAAAGAAAGAGAAAATTGAACATAATAAAGAGAATAGAGAGTAGGCAATGATGGAGAGGGAAGTGGTTTCTCTTACATGGTGGTAGAAGCCAGGTTTGTGTCCTCATGCTTAAGTTTGCCATCCAGTGCCAGGCCACGTTTTTCACGGTTGTTGGTTAAGCTGGGGGTCACAGAGTAGCTTTTGGACAAAGTAGAGTCAGCAGCCACATTCTCACTAAAAAGGAGAACAACCTGCTAAATCATTATGCTAGTGGGATGCTATACACCAAAACAATGTGATTTTAACAATTGGGATTTTTTTAAAAAGACCCATCACTCATGAAATAATTTCAGTGCAGAAAATAAGATGAATCCTGCATGTAGACTTCACATTGGCCATCCTATCTAAGTGGTCACGACCTTTCTGATCTCATCCAAGAGAAATAACTGAATCCTCTTTATCTGAATATCTTCAAAACTCCAAAGACTGCTACAGGGATCTTGAGGGACTTTTTGATGCTGATTTGTAGAAAAGGCATAACGTTGTTTTATTCTCTAGAATCTTCCAATGGTGTTTTAAAAACTTTTCAGACAGAAGTTTAGAACTGCTTGAATCATTTGTTGAATTTGTATCCAACCATTCCTTTGTGAAGACCATTCCCCCTTCCAACTGAAGAATTTTCCCTGAAGTATTCCTGAGGTTCTGTTCACCCCCAGGAACAACATTGTGAGGGCTTGGGGGCATGAGAACATCCTGTACTGCAAGTGGCTCTCTTTGGATAGAAGCCAGTGAGGAGCCCAAACTGAAATAATGCCTATTTGGACCAAGCTATAGCTCTTGTAATAAAGACTCAAATTGGCTTCCTTTGTGCCTGTAAAAATCTCATTTTCCATTCTTTCATTCTTTCCTTTCTTCCCTCCTTCAAACTCTGGTAGATTATCTCCCACTTACGTTATCTCCTCAGAACATACAATCTTCGTATATTTGTCCAGAGAATAGAGAACCACATCTGTAGTTTGCTCAACTAAACAGAGAAACAGAGAAACACACACAACAATGACCCAGGAAGTCCAGAATATATTATACAACAATTGTTTCTAGATTCATAAAATCTAACACTTTCTTTTCTATCTTATCTGCCATCTATCTCATTTACTCATCTTAAATAAATAAATAAATAAATAATATTCTAATATTTTTCTTAGCACTAGAAGGATATTTCCCTCACTTCACTTTAAGGTAAAATCACTTGATGATATTGACAAGCAATAGCAGAACTAGCAACAGAGTAGATGCACAACAAAATGAAGACCTTAAATGACTTTAGGAAGTAGAAAACTGTGTTAGAGATAGCCATACTGGGAACTGCTACCCATAATAGTTTACCACCACAGATTCAGATGCTAATAGGCAACAAGAACAGAAACCTTTTCATGAAACATGAAGCTGGGTATAAGGGATGAGAACAATATGTACTGAAAGATGAGTTGCAGAATGAGTTGAAATAAAAAGAAGAAAGGATAAATTAATTATGTAGAACAAACATATGAACAAACCTTTACCCACTATGTAAACAAGTTAGTTATTTGCATTGCCAGGGTTTTGGTGTTGTTCTTGATCCCCCTCACCTGATATCTTGATTTTCTTTACAACTTTGCTGGTGGTATTGATAATTTTAACATTAACCCCAATTGGATCTCCATGGTAATAAATCTGAAATAACAGTGGATTATGGTCAAAGAAATATGTAGATGCATACAATGACAAAATGTCAACTGTGGTCCTGGAGAAATACAGTTACTGCAAACCAGAATCAAAGACAGATGTTAAGTAGGAGAGAGAAGGCTGAAGCATAAATTTAAAGCAGAATACTATAATCTACAGTAATAAAAAAGAGATGTGACATGGCAATGAGCTGAAACCTTTAGCTGACCTCCTTGTCCAGTGACGCCTCTAGATGCAGGGGCTTATCAGACATCATGAATTGCTTAGTAGTCTCAGACTTTGGTGCAGGACCTGGGTTTTTGGGTGCAAACTGGACCTTCCTTATCACCAAACGCACTGAATTTCTGCACAGAAAAAAAGCAGTTCATCATATTTGCTCATATGGATATGATCCAAGATCCTTGATACTATGAAGGATTCCTTGACTTTACAAACAATATGAGTAATGAGGTACAAAGTGTATTGCAAAGGGTAATCTAAAGAGTTAATGAGTCCAAAGTGTTGTGAGATGCATTTTGCAGACTGACTTTATAACTGACTTAAATTTTCACTAAGAGCTGAATGTAGCTCAAAACACAATTAAGAACATAAGAACATAAGAGACACCAATGTTGGATCAGGCCAAAGGCCCATCCAGTCCAACACTCTGTGTCACACAGTGGCCAGAAATACCAGTGCCATCAGGAGGTCCAGCAGTGGGGCCAGGACATTAGAAGCCCTCCCACTGTTGACCCCCCCAAGCACCAAGATGACAGAGCATCACTTGCCCCAGAGCCCCTAGCTATACCTTGTGGCTAATAGCCACTGATGGACCTCTGCTCCATATGCTTATCTAATTCCCTTTTGAAGCCGTCCATGCTTGTAGCACCCACCACTTCCTGTGGCAGTGAATTCCATGTGTTAATCACTCTTTGGATGAAGAAGTACTTCCTTTTATCCGTTCTAACCCGACCGCTCTGCAGTTTCATGGAGTGCCCACGAGTTCTTGTATTGTGAGAAAGGGAGAAAAGTACCTCTTTCTTTATCTGCTCTTTCCCATGCATAATCTTATAAACCTCGATCATGTCACCCCTCAGTCGTCTTTTCTCCAAGCTAAAGAGCCCTAACGCTTTAACCTTTCCTCATAGGGAAAGTGTTCCAACCCTTTTATCATTCGAGTTGCCCTTTTCTGCACTTTTTCCAAAGCTATAATATCCTTTTTAAGGTGTGGTGCCCAGAACTGCACACAGTATTCCAAATGAGGTCTCACCATTGATTTATATAGGGGCATTATTATATTGGCTGATCTGTTTTCAATACCCTTCCTAATAATCCCCAGCATAGCATTGGCCTTCTTTATTGCAGTCACACACTGTCTCGACATTTTCAGTGAGTTATCCACTACAACTCCAAGATCTCTCTCTTGATCAGTCTCTGCCAGTTCAGACCCCATCAATGTGTATTTATATTTAGGATTTTTGGCTCCAATGTGCATCACCTTGCACTTGGCCACATTGAACCCCATTTGCCATGTTGACGCCCACTCGCCCATCCTTGACAGATCCCCTTGGAGTGCCTCACAATCCTCACTGGTTTTCACCACCCTGAACAACTTTGTATCATCCGCAAATTTAGCCACTTCACTGCTTACTCCCATCTCCAAATCATTAATGAACAAGTTAAATGATGTCTTATAATTGCCTTTATACTCAGCTAGTGACTTGTTCTTATTAGATGGGTTCTTGTTGAATGTCACCTAAACTAAATTTCTGCCTCCCTATTGATTAATTTCTAAAGAATGGGCTGACGAGAATCACCATGAGTCCTCAGATAATAATCAGATCTACCCCATTGTATCACCCTGATTCAAACCATGTGTCTAATTCTGTAGTTTTATGTTTGTACGAACACACACACATGTGTACCAATATAGGACACACTGATGAAGTGAGCTCTAGTTAAAAAAAAATCATGTCACAAATTGGCTGTTGCCTTAACTTGAAAAAATCTTGTTGCACTGACCCTCTCATTATGGCACCGTAACATCTGGGGGCAATATGTAATGGAGAAAATTACTGACCAAATAAATAAATAATCTAATCCCTCACACTAACTTTGATGAGAAATGGTTCATTGTGTTAGATTACTTGTCTGAACATGATGTAGTTCCAAAAGGAATGAAATTGCTAAACCTGCTATGACATCTATTTCTACATAGTGCTCTGCTTGATGGATTTTTAAATGCGGGGGTTTTTTTACTACTGTGGCGTTAAGAATTCTTGTAATGTTTTTGGTGATAATGTATTATTCCTTTATGTATTAACCTAAGGTACTTGGTTTCTTTTTATAATTGGTTTGTTGTAATGGAAGTTGTATGGAAATATTTATATTAAAGTATTAAAAAGAACAGAGGCAGGGGCAAACGGATCGTGTAGCAGTGCTGTGGATGAGAGGTACTGGCATCACTGGGACTGATTTTGTTGACAGATCTTCTAAGAAGTATTATGTCATTTGTCACAGAACATGAAACAATGTCCACCGAAGCAAAGCAGCATTTACAAAGGGATATTAGATGTCCTTCCAAAGCGGTAGGTGCAACCCACCAGTGGCTGAACAGTGGGCTTTCCCACATTCTCATTTTCCTCACTTCTGTGTTCCTGTGGCTTCCCGGGGGCAGGGTCTGTTCTGTAAGTGTTTTGCTCTGTCTAGCGGTCAATTCAATATTGCTTCTCTTTGTGTTGGCATATCTCCCTGCAGCTTTTTTTTCTGGACATAAAGCAATATATTATCAAATTGTCCACTAAAGGGAGCAAAATATGTGCAAACAGACAAAAAACACCCTGAACTAACAGGAACGCACAAGCAAGGAAAATGAGAATGCAGAAAAGCCCACTGCGTATTATATGTATTTTATGTAGGTTTTCTTTTCTATACAGAAACAAGAACATAGATATCATGCCTCATAATCGCAGAGGATCTCCCCGCCACTTACGTCAGTTGACAGCCTTTAAGTAATACACACCAAAATATTTCTCTAGAAAATAGATCTTTAGCTCAACCACGCATAGAATCTCGACCACAAATCTTCAAAATTATCTCCACCTTTCCCCTTTAAGAAGGTTGTTAATTTATCAATTTCTGCTATATTTAAGAGTTTCTGTATAAATTCTTCCCTAGTCGGTGTTTTATCTAGCCTCCAATATTTGGGGGAAAAAATCCTCGCTGCTGTTGTAAGATCAGGTGTTTTTCTGGTTTGCGGTATTTCTCTGGAATATTATTTAATAGAAATAGCTCTGGTATAAGGGGTACTTCTTTCTTTATTATTTCTTGTATAATCATTTGTATCTTTCTCCAATATTTTTCTGCTTTGACTCAGCGCCACCACATAGAACCACATCCCTAAATTTTGCCTAATTTCCAACATGCATTATTTGTTTTACCTGGTGACATGTGCCACCTGTAAAACATTTTATACATATTTCTTTAAGTGGAATCGATCTAGTGAATTTTATATTACTCTTCCAAACTTGATCCCATTGTTCTAAATCTATACTGTGCCCCAGATCCTGTGCCCAAGCAATCATGGCGGATTTAACCACCTCATCCTGCAAATTGAAATCTAATAAATATATATATATATATATAGTTTATCGATTTTTCCTCCATATCTAACCATACTTTATCTAAATCCGTCATTTTTGGTATATTCCTATCTTCTTATATTTACTATATCTTGATTCCAATTGTAGTCATTCCCACCAAGATAGGATTTTGTTCCTGTTGCTCAGGGATCAGTTGTTTTTATTATCTAGTATATCTTGGTATCTCCACTTCAAGTGTTTCAAAAATAATGAGGGTTTAATAAACGCTTCCAACGGCGAAACCCATCTGGGTGTTTTACTATAAAAGAGCTGTTTGGTCTCTTCCCAGGTTTTTATCAAGGAACCTCTAATCATATGCTGTTTGAAGTATGTCTTATCTTTACCATACCAGATAAAGGCATGCCATCCCATTGCCAGGTCATGTCCCTCTAATTTTAGCAGTCCTGAATTTTCAAGTGTTAGCCAGTCTTTTATCCAGACCATGGAAGCGGCTTTTTAATACAATGCCCAGTTTGGTGGTGCCAAGCCTCCTCTTTCTTTTTTATCTTGTAAGAGCTTCAATTTAATTCTGGCCTTTTTGGATTGCCAAATAAATTTACTTATGATTTGATCTAATTCCTTAAAGTATTTTTGATTCTTCAAAATGGGGATGGTTTGAAAAAGAAATAACAATCATGGGAGAATGTTCATCTTAATTTTTGCCACTCTACCAAAAAAAGAAATTTTTAGTCCTTTCCACTTCTCCAGGTCTTTCTTGATTTCAAGAAAAAGTTTCTTATAGTTGTCTTCTATTAATGAACTACATCTGTTTGTTACATTTAGGCCCAAATATTTAACTTTTTTTTACAGATCTCAGCTCCTGTTGTTTCTTGTAGCTGCTGTACTTGCTCCTTACAATTTTTAGTTATTATTTCTGGTTTGAGCTGCGGTGGCTCAAGTGGTTAAGACGCTGAACTGCAGGCTGTGGAAGGTCAGTAGTTCAGCAGTTCAAGACCCGGGTGCCGCAAGACGGGGTGAGCTCCTGTCTCTAGTTCCAGCTCCTGCCAACCTAGCAGTTCGAAAGCAAGAAATTGCAAGTAGATAAATAGGTACCACTTCAGTGGGAAGGTAACAGCGTTCCGTGCGCCTTGGTGTTTAGTCATGCCGGCCACATGACCATGGAAACGTCTTCGGACAGCACTGGCTCTTCAGCTTTGAAACGGAGATGAGCACCGCAACCCTAGAGTCGGATTCGACTGGCTTTCGAGCAAGGGAACCTTTACCTTTACCTTTACTTGTCCATATTGCTGTATTAATGCCAATAATTGTTTAAGGGAGTCATCTGGATCTTCTACAATGAAGACCAAGTCAGTTTGGTGTAGTGGTTAAGTGCGTGGACTCTACTCTGGGAGAATTGGGTTTGATTCCCCACTCCTCCACTTGCACCTGGCTGGATGACCTTGGGCAAGCCATAGTTCTGGTAAGAGCTGTTATTGAAAAAAGAGCAGTTTCTGTCAAGAGCCCTCTCAGCCCCACCTACCTCACAGGGTGTTTGTTGTGGGGAGGGGAAGGGGAAGGAGTTTGTAAGCCGCTCTGAGACACCTTTGGGTAGTGAAGGGTGGGGTATAAATCCAATCTCCTCCTTCTCCTCCTCCATCTGCGAAAGCTTGTAGTTTGAATTCTTCAGCCCAGTGTGCAGAATGTAATTGAATCTAATTGGAGTTGGGAGTTCTAACTTCTGTTCCTCATGTGTAACCACTAAAGCAGTTTAGCATTTCATTATTATGCCTTTAAAAAGGGGAAGACTCTTTTATTACTTTGATAGATCATGGGGAAATATTAATTCCCCCCTCCTGTTCATAATATTAACAAGGATTTGCTGCTGTAAAACTACGTTTCAAAGCAGGATAGAGGTGAGAAGGATCTGAGACCAAGACTGAAAAATAAGGGGGAGAATTGGAAGAGGGGAGATATAAATAAAGGCAGATCATAAAAGGAAGAGAGCAAAATGAAGGAGGATAGAAGTGCAAAAAAAAATAATAAAAGAGAAATTAAGAATAGAGGAAAGATTGTTATATTTTCTACAACACACTAACAGGGATGATTTGGATAAGCAGACAAAACTATGGAACTGGGTGAAGGAGGGAAACAGACTACTAGAAACAACTAGAAACAGCAAACTTTCATTCACCCTTCTACATTTGTTAATGTGTTTTATTTTAATTGTTTTAAATATTTTAGGTATATTTATGTGTATTTTAACATGTTTTGTTTACATCCCAAGGCCCCTAAATTGGGTGAAAATACAAGTGTTTTAAATACATAAATAATCTCACCATTACATCACAAGAACAATTAAAATCTTCCAATCACAACAACCCTGTAATCTGCAGGTACCCCATGATGGGACCTGAGACCTCTGTATCCCATTTACCTTCTTTAAGGCAGGTAGAATGTGCATAAAAAGGGTCCCCTAAGCCTCAACATTTTGTAGCGGGTTCTGCTCCCCAACTTTTTCCCATGTCCTCCCCACATTCTTCCTTCCCATACCCATCCTTCCCACATCCTCTGCCAGCGGGTTTACTGGCCCCCAACAGCCTCCCCTCCTCTGGCTTGGAATAGCCCCCCTCCCATTTCTCTCCTTGCTAGAGATTCCCCGGCTTCCCTTGTCCAAACCTTTCTGCCCTTTTTTGGGCAACCCTACAATGTTCTTGTCTCCCTGGGAGGATTCTTTCTCTGGAAAAGCTACGAGGGAGCGATGACTGGGCATCAGTTCTAAGTAACTGCAATTGGACACTAGGGCCCGAGGTGTTTTTGCACCCTAGGCGGGGCTACCTTCTGGCACCCCCCCACGTGCACCCAATTAAGGGGTTGCCAACCCCCAGGCAGGGCCTAGAGAGAAGCACTGGCTCCCTCCATCCCCAAAGCTGCCCCCGGAAACAAAGACCGATCGCAGAGAGGGCTTTTCTTTCCAGGTCTTCGGTCTGCATTTGGCGGCGGGGGGGGGGAGCGCTTCTTTCTTGGCGATCCCGCACTTACTTGAAGCCAGACTGAAGAACAAGCATTAGGCGCTTAAGCAGACCCGGGGCTCAGTGAACAGCAGCCTGGAGTGAGCGAGCTGTGCCAGGAAACCGCCCGGAATGGCGCCAAGAGGGAGGCAATGCGCGCGGGGTGGGGGGGGAGAGCTGACAGCTCCTCAGCCCGAACATGTTGGCAGCAGGCAGAGACAATGGAGGGAGGGCGAGAGCGGTGGCTGGAGCAGAGGGTGGGCGGGAATAGGGGCCCGCAGAGCCCCAGGCATGTCCATGGCAGGTGAGCCTGGCACAGCCACCCCGCCGCCGATGGGAGTGCGCCAACAGACAGACTCGGGCCCCGCCTCCTCCTCCTCCTCCCCGGCCAACACAGCAGCAGCAGGGGTGCAACCCGCCTTCGTCGGCCCCTTTTGCGCCCCCCACTCGGCTGGGAGCAGCAATGGCGAGTAGCCAGGAGAGCTGTGCAGGGCGGAGCCACGCAGGAAGGAGGGCGGAGCCCAGCAGGAGGCCCACTGGAGGCCGGAACAGTGCAGAGTCCCCAGAGGAGTGCGCCTTGCTCCCTCCTCACTTCCTTCCCCACACACCTGCCTGCCCCCTCCCCTCCTCCTTCCTGATGGTGTGCTGCAGCAGAGGGAAGGGAGGAAGCTGGCGGGAAGGAAGGGGCACATTGTGGGTCCCCAGAAAGCCATGCTGGGGGCGAGTGGGCAGCAGCGGCGGCAGGGGCCTCGCTGAGCCCCTGGGAGATCTGCGTCCTAGGCCAGATACTAGCAGGCCTAGTGAGAGAGCCAGCCCTGCTTGCAAAGTAAATGTTTATTGGTTTATCTCAAGTAAATTTTATCATTGAATGACTCTTGTGTTGCTATCTGTTTACATTTGTTTATATACAGACACATTTTTTCATTCATTGCAGATTGGGGAATATCCCAGATCCTAGTCTGGCATTCTTACCACTACACTATTATGTGTTTTAGGGCCAAAGTGATGGTGGCGAAGAATCCATCCTGTGGGTGCTGAAGGCATTTAAAAAGCATTTGTAGGCCCCGGTCACACGGGCAGGAAACTGCAGAGGAGAAGCGTGTCTGTTTGCCCTGGGGCAAACTACTGCGCAGTTACATGATCAGAGGTACCGTGGAGGTTCCATGGCAAGGGAGAGGTGTCGATCACAGGACAAGCCAGCGCACAACGAAGAAGCAAACTGTTTTTTATTTTTGTGTACATGACAAATGCGCATGCTCCGTTGGGTGCGCATGCGCATCCACAGAGACGTGGACAAAAAAAACACCTTATGTGCAAGGGGACATGGGTGGGCGCCGGATGCCACCAGAAACGCGATCAGACGCCCGCCCTTGCCCCGCAGTTTCCGGAAACTAGTACCTCCAAGGTACTAGTTTTTTGCCACGCAGTTTCGGCTGGAAGCCTCAGTTGAGCCACGGGAGTGCTACGCTTCCCAGATGTGCTGGTGAGATCGCGCCCGGAAACTCCGGCTGTTTTCCGTCTCACTTGTGTGGCTTCTGTTACGTGTGACCGCAGCCGTAGTTAATCAAAAAAATGCTGCAAGGCCCCTATTCAGATTGGGTGCACAGTGCAGTGGCCCCAGGAGCTCTTATCCCCAACTGTCAGCTATGCTGCCATGAAGGTTGGGGAGGTTGGTCTGTGTCTGGTTAATTGCTATTGCTTTCCTTTTAGGTTAATTGCCACTTCATTCCTTTCTGTGCTGTCTCTGCTGTGCGCCAAAACGCTTATCTATACAGATGTGCAGGAGGGTGTTGTGATGTCTGGGATTGCCCTAGGTGCCATGGGAGAGTGTTCATTCTCAGCTTCAGCTACCTAACAGTCTCTAAGCCTTAACCCGTGCGCGGGAGGGTGCCTAATTGGCCAGTGCCGTGGGGGGGTGCATAAGAATACCCTATATCCTATTATGCCCATGGGGCCACCACCCTTCGTAACAGTGCCTATGTTACTGCATCTATAGCTCTGCAATAAAAGTATAACTTTGTTGTTGGCTGTGGGTTCTGACACCAACACGGTGCCTTTTCAAGTGCCAAAACAAAGTCTCTGCCCCTGCAAATGTGCAAGGGAAACAGGAACTCCTGAGGCCCCTGTGCCACCATCATAAGGTGATCCAGATTACCCGCAACATTTTCTAAAGAACCACAAACGCTACAAAGTGGCATCAGTGGACATGTGATGAACCTGTAGTCTGGCTTTTAACTGGGAAAATAAGTACCTTTCGTTTTCCCTATTATTATTCCTCCTCACCAAAGGAATATTAAGCTACAGCCCAAGCTTTGTATACAATAGACATGTACTGCACGTGTGGGTCTGGTCATATGTGAATTTCCTGTCTCGGGATCTGTTTTTCATAACCAATCAACACAATTATTTTAGAGTTAATAGATAATGAACCTTTGATGTTGATTGAGAAAAACATGGGTGTCCAAACAGCAGAACATTTTTTATGAAATGAGGGAATGAGTTTACCTCTTATGAATTTTCTCTTCCAAGTTATCAGCACAAAATCCTTTAACCTGAAAGTCCACACCACAAGACTGAGAAAAACATAAGAATAAAGGTTACAAAGGTTTCGAGACAAATTGTTTCCCATGTAACAACTGGTTATAAGAACCTGCAATTACACATACATCAAATCTTGAGGACAAGGTGAGCAGGATTAGTTAAAATGTATAATCTGAGTCCAAATAACCAGCAAGGTCAAGTTTCTCTAATATGCCATCTGTTCCATGAACAGCAGTCCAGAAAGCAAGGAGGAAACCTACTGGCTTTTACTGGTATAAAATCCTTCTCCTCTAACACAAGACCACAAGAACTGTATGTGTTTCGGAGATTGCTAAGAATTCTCTGTGTCTTCATCAAATTACACTTTATAGGATTTGGACAGTGAGTAGGAAATCATCACAGTTAATCAGTATAAGTCTGTGGTACAGATCCACTCAGAATCTCACAAGCCTTACAACCTGCAGCTTTTTTTCTGAATTAAAATTGAGGTACATTTCACTCTGACAAGTTAAAATTACTACATTTAACATAAAGAATTTGCTTCCCCTTGAACACACATGCTCTACATTTGGGATCTCATCATATCTCCTGTTGGCACCCCCCTCTGAGGTTAGGAAGTTCTGCTGTTCCACACCTGATGGAAAAATGCTGCAAATTTATTCACCTCAACAAAAGAAACAGCAGAGCTGTGAATCAAGCAGAGAGAAAGCAAGGAGGTCTCCATCTGGGCTCAGAAGAGTCTTTAATGACTTCCTTCAATTTATTTTTGGTGCAATTTCAACAGTTCTCTTCCCTGGCACACAGATTAAGAAATACTGGTATAGCCCAAGGATGCATGTTATTCACATAGTGTGGGCTAAATAGTGGAATTCCCTTGATGCACGATCCCATTTGTTCTGTAAGTGGCTAGTAGAGCCATCGCTACCTTCTTTTCTAAATGATACCCTTGTGTTTTACTGTTTATTTATTTGTTTAGAAAATATGTGTATATTTTGAGGTGGCTCACAAAACCAAAACCAAATCACAGGATTAAACATTAAGGACTAGGAGTAAAAAAAACCCTAGCTATATAAACAAAGGTAAAGGTTCCCTTGCTCAAAAGTCAGCCAATGTTCCCTTGCTCGAAAGCCAGCCGATCCCGACTCTAGGGTTGCGGTGCTCATATAAACAAAACAGGAGCATAAAAACAGCATACATTCAACATACAGATTCCCTGAGATAAAAGCCTGGTAAAAAAAATTTTTTTTTTGATACATTTTAGTGCCTACTGGAAGCAAAAGTAGGGGGCAGGTGAGTCTCAGAGGGGAGCACATTCCAAAACTGTAGTGACATCCCTGGGAAAGCATGGGCTCTTCTTGCTCCCCTCCTCACCTCTGCAGGCAGGAGCCCAGAGAGCAGAGCTCGGAATAGGACGTCATCTCTCTCAGAGAGGAAACAAAAAAGAACGCTTTACTGGCTTCCCAGGTGTGTTTTCACTGTCATGTTTCCTTGGTTTCACTGTCATGTTGTTAACATCATTTTAATTTTTGGGGGTTAAATTTATATCCCGTCCTCCCCACCGTGGAAAGAAGACAGACAAGAAAGACCATATTTACCTTCCCAGTATCATCTGGCCCTGGTTGGAGAGTGACAGAGCAGGGCAAATTGGTCGCCATCTAAGAATATGATAAATATGATTATGATAGATAGTTGACAGATAGATGATAGATGATAAATAGATATAGATGATAGACATAGATGACAGATCGATAGATCGATCAATCGATACATAGATATAGGCTGCGGTCACACACACTAAATAATCCAGGTGGAAAGTGCATTGAAAGTGGATTATTTAGTGTGTGTGACCACGGCCATAGATGGATAAATAACAGGGAACTCTTAGCAGAATTTATTGCAGCAGACAGAGAGAACAAGTATCATTATCCACTAGCCTTGAACTTCAGTCAGGTTTTTATATTAAACACCCCCATGACTGTAATGTACCGATTTTCAAACTTTCTATCAGCTGGGGATCCTCTGTACTTTCCTTCAGGTACACACATGATACTGTGGGACATACACAATACTCTTAATCTTTTGATTCCCACACCCCCAATAAACCTCCAAAGAATATCAGGATCCCCCAGAATGCAGTTTGGAAAATACTAATACATGATCCCTTTTCCACTTGGATAAGTAATTGAACCTACACAGTTAAGGAAAAGTTCATGTAACAAGAAGCCACTCTGGAAAGCAGAAGCTAATTTGGATGGTATAAAACAACCCTAGAGCAGTGAGCCAAAAATACCCTGTAGGGCTGGCAGCATTACCACGGGTACTTCACTCAAAGCAAACCAAGGACAGGGGTTCACCCATTAATTTGTCATGCTTCACCTCCTACCTGGTCCAAAGTTGGCAGCCCTTGTGATATTGTTTGTGCCATTGGGGCTTTGCTCAGACTGTTTCTGGCCAACAGATAGACTTAAGAAAACTCTTAAAGGGTATTGCCAAGGAAGGCATTGGTGGCCAGGAACAGTGTGGTTTGCTTTGAGTGAAGTAGCATTACTACTTCACTTTTGGAGATACGGTGACCAGAACTGTACACAGTATGCCGAATGAGGCTGCAACACAGATCTATCAGCCTATATTTGAAGCTGGATTTTTTTTGTTCCAATATGCATCACCTGACACTTACCAACAGTGAACTTCATTTGCCACATTGTTGCCCACTCACCCAGTTTGTAGAGGTCATCTTGGAATTCTTCACAGGCAGCGTTAGTTTTCAACCATCCTGAATAATTTTGTGTCATCTGCAAACCTGGCCACTATACTACTCCCCCCTAGTCCCAGATCATTGATGAATAAATTAAAGAGTACTGGCCCCACTACCGATCCTAGTGGGACCCCACTGCTTACTTCCCTTCATTGTGAGAATAGTCCATTGATTCCTACTTCTTGCTTACTCTCATTTACCCAGTTTTTAATCCACAAGAGAACCCATCCTCTTATCCCATGACTGCTAAATTTACTCAGGAGTCTTTTGTGTGGTACCATGTCAAAATCCTTTTGAAAGTCCAGGTATATAATGTCTACTGGTCACTGTTGTCTACATGCTTGTTCATTTCCTCAAAGTCCAAAAGATTGGTGAGGCAGGACTTCCTTTTGCAGAAGCCATGCTGATTTTCCCTCAGCAGACTTTGTCCCTCTGTTTGCATAACAATTCTATCTGTGACATTAAGCTGACTGGTCTGTAATTTCCTGGTTCCCCTCTTAGATAGCTTTTTAAAAACTGGTACAACGGCTGAATTTAGTGATGGGTTACATATATGGAGTAGTAGATCAACGATCTCACATCTGAGTTCCTTAAGAACAGGACCTGGAGACTTATCAGCTTTTAATTTCCCCAGTAGGTCTATAAATTCATCTCTGGTCACTTCAATGTGGCTCATTGCTTCAGACGCTTTCTAAAAATAGGGGCTGAGGCATGGGTATGTGCCCCACATTTTCCACAGTGAACACAGAAGCAAATACATCTCCCCATCTTCTGTTACCAATCCCTTTATTTTTTTGCATGACTAATTATTGAAATATTTCTTTTGCCAGAGCCTGTGGTCCCTCCTGTTCAATCCATTGGGGCAGACCTTCCACTTTATAAAAGATACTTGACTTGTGTAGTTAACCACGCATGCCTCCTTTCAGACTTGGCAGTGCCTTTCCTAACCTGTGGTATGAATTCTATTTGGACTTCATTCAGTGTGGCTTTAAATAGTCTCTAAGCATCCTCTAGGGAAGTGACTCTCTTGCGTTTCCCCTTCAGCTTCCTTTTTACAATTCCCCTCATTTCTGTAAGGTTCCCCGTTTTGAAATAAAATGTTACAGTTTTGGACTTTAGGGGTAACTTTCAATTGATCCGAATACATTATGGTCACTGTTCCCAATTGGCATAACAACCTCTCTCACCAGGTCTTGAGGCAAGCTCAGAGACAAGTCCAGGATCACTACCCCTCTGGTTGACTCTGTGACCAGTGCACAGTCTTTTTTGATGGCTAGGAATTTATGATGTCTATAGCAGTTGAATTTCCATGATTTTGTGCAAATAAATCTTTGGCCTGTTGGCTAATCAAATTTTCCCTTTTAAACTGATTCGCTGAATTTGATTTCTCTTAAACAAAATTGCATGTCACAAAAATGAATACCAGAATCTTTCCTAACAAAGGAAGGCAGTTTCTGTTGAATTTTTAACTTAAAGCAATCTTCACTGCACTGTAGATGTTTTTCAAACTGGGGTCCTGGGATTCCCAGCTCCTTGTGGGGTAGCAGACAAGGCAGGACAATGGGAAAGTCCTCTTTTTGATAATTCAGTTAATGTCAAAAATGAACTTTACACCTCAGGGCAATGTGACAGAATCAACTTCTCCTTCTTTTGAAGGAGGGAAGATCATACAGCTTTCAGCATCTGCAGTCACCTCATTTCTAGATCACCTATCAGCACTACCCAGAGAATGAAATGACTGGTTATTGAATAGTTAAGCCCTAGAAACTCTATTTGGCTGAGTGGCACCAAAGAGGTATAGTTGTAATACAGACATTATAGTTATGTAAGGTATAAAATTGATCTAATTTTCTCTCTGATTATTGTTATTGCTAATGGCAGTTTCCAGTTGGATACTGGAAGTTCAAGTTTTTCAGAGCAGCTTGTAGCTTCCCTACCTCAAAAGTGAAGGGATAGGCATGCTCTCCTAGCTTTCTCAGCAGCTTTTCTTGCAACGTAGTAAGACTCTTGGGTGCCTGGTCTGGCACAGGAGGGTAAATCTGTGTGCTGAGGACATAGATGTCCTTTCTGAAGGTCAGGCCAATTACATCCAGGTCATCTCGGCCATAGCGAAATGCACAAGTGAGAGTCACATACACTAGGTCACAATAGAATGGAAATAATTAAATACAGTAAAGAAGAGGAGGAAGGGCAGAGAGAATACAGGACAGAATATTAGGGAAAAGGCAGATGTAGAGAGATGAGGTAGAGAAGGAAAGAATAAACTAGTGAGTTTAGAATTAGAAGTTTCTTAATTCAGACATCAAATGAATACTGTCATCATGGAATAGTGTGCGTAGTGGTTAACAGTGCCATCCTAAGCAGATCCCATTAAATTTAATGTACTTGAAAAAGTAGCATTGTAAGAGCCTGAAATATGAGATGGCAGCCTTGGATTCAAACAATCAAAAGCAGTCCTTATACAAATGCCTCAGATATCTTGCTGGACGTTAAAAATAAATATATGATTGCATAGAAGTGCTACTCTTATTATTATTATTGCATTCCAAAATAAATGAAACATAATCCTATTTTATACTTAAAAGTAATGAGTGAAGAATGGAAGGGTGGAAGTAGAAAAGGTGGTGGATTTGATTATTCTGTTGGGTTAAGTCCAAGGAATCCAACAATTTGTGGGGTACTTTTCTAAATATTAACATCTTCACAATGAAGACATAGATGTCTGTTTTCCCAACCTTTTCTGTCCTTCAGGTACTCCGGATCGATCAAGACAACTCCATCTGCAAACAAATATGAGAAGATCAGATAAAGAAATAAACAGTTTAATGCATATTGGACTTGGGCTACTGAGGTCTGTATTCAAATCTCAACTCCTCCATGAAGCTCACCAGATGTCCGCAGACCAATAACATAAACAGACACAGGCAGTTAAGTACAAACAAAAATTATAGGACATGGCATACTATAAACATTGCAGAAAACTGTATTTTAAAAATATAAAATGTAATGAGTGAAAGAATACATACACTGATTGCAGTACAAATTGCAATGAGAGTGGATTTGATTTAAATCACTAGTCAGGCTCTGTTCTGGTCATACATTTACATTATCTATCATTCAGTGAGTTATCTACTATGACTCCAAGATCTCTCTCTTGGTCAGTCTCTGCCAGTTCGGACCCCATCAATGTGTATTTATAGTTAGGATTTTTGGTTCCAATTTGCATCACTTTGCACTTGGCCACATTGAACCCCATTTGCCACACTGACACCCACTCGCCCATCCTCGACAGATCCCTTTGGAGTGCCTCACAATCTTTCCCGGTTCTCACCACCCTGAACAATTCAGTGTCATCCACAAATTTAGCCACTCGAAATCATGAATGAACAAGTTAAAAAGCATCGGACCCAGTACTGATCCCTGCGATACTGAACCACTGCTTACCACCCTCCACTGTGAAAATTTACCATTTATACTCAATCTCTGTTTCCTATTAGCCAGTTTTGATCCACAAGAGGACTTGTCCTTTTATCCCGTGACTAATAAGCTTACTTAGGGGCCTTTGCTGAGGAACTTTATCAAATACAGGAGCCCTGAGCCCATTTGCAGGGAGGGCGGGGTATAAATACAAAAATAAATAAAAATAAATAAAAAGCTTTTTGGAAGTCAAGGTAAACAACATCTTTGTCCACATGTTTGTTCACCCCTCAATGAACAAAAAATGGGTTACTATGGTTATGGTTACATTGGGGCATTTCCCCCCAGCCTATCTTACTATTAAAGTTTAAAAAAAATAAATCCCCCCCCCCAAGCACTGCTTTAAAGTGCTCTGGAGAGATACAGCTCTTCGTAACAAACAGATGATCCTTCCTGACAACATTGGGAGCATTAACCTCAACACAGAGATGTGTTCTTGGGGTGGAAATATACCCCAAATTACAAGAAAGTTTGAAATTGTTAGTTGATGTTTTTAAACAGTTTCATTTAAAATTCATGACATTTTGCTAGTTCTCTAGCATCTTTGGTTCAAAATTTCCGCCCCCAAATAATTGGATTTTGCCTTGGAGTATTTCCCCCCCAAAGTTTGAAGACATGCTTCTTGATTAAAGGTTGGGGCTTGAAACTCTATTCCCTATTGTAACCTCAGTACCAAGGCTTCTACTGCTGGAAGGAGTCAGATACCAGCCTGACCTGGGTTACAAATGGAGGTTATTGTTAAAATAGAAAAGGTTACTAGCTATGAAATAATTCCAGTTCTTGAAATCTAGCCCAGCCTTGGCAGAACCTCACTCTTACCCATTGCTAAGCTGTTTAGTTACGAAGCATTGCCTGGATTCCTCACCCATGTCCAAGACTGCTCACCTACTGAGTGCCCCCTGAGCAGCTGTTTCTGGGTAGCGGGGGTAAGCCTCTGGTAGGTGGACACATAAAATAATCAGAGGTGGTGGCAACCATACCGAAGTACTCCAAAGAATCGAAGGACTGCCTACTCCCTTATGAACCTGCCTAACCAATGTAGTCCTCTTCTGAGGCCTGACTTAGGGTGCCCCTACCTCCTGATGGACTCTATGGCATTATACCTGTTGAATCCTGCCCCCCCCCACCTCAGTCTCCCTGGCTCCACCAGGAATTTAATTGTTTTTAAATTTGTTGTCGAAGGCTTTCATGGCTGAAGTTCATTAGTTGCTGTAGATTTTCCGGGTTGTGTGGCCATGGTCTTGGCATTGTAGACAAAGGTTTAGTGGAAAAGAGGGCCAATATTAAAACCCATTGATAAAAAGAAGTACATGTATTTATTAATAATATCAAGTTAAAACATATATAGGGGCCCAATTACAGACAATATACATAAACCATAATCATAACCAGGGCTAAAAAAAATGACCTGACGCGTTTCGGCCGGATCGGCCTTCCTCAGAGGTCATACAAGTGTGGCTGGATGGTAAATAGTTACACCCATAAAACACAATCAAAAATGTATACAAAATATAATTTCAATTAGGACCATAAAGGAAATTGTTCAGTAAAAACATACCCAGGCACAAAGTGAATATGCGCATACAATCTTTTTAGTGCAATCACTAGCCCAGTAGATATAAAATCAACCTA